TTTCGAGAAAGTCGGGTCGTTACAGCCGTATTAAAGAATCCACTGAAGCAGATTAGCACACATGATATATTGATGAAGAACGTGAAGAGTCATGATATATTATTATGCTGCAAACTTACATCGTATAGTGTGTCACCAAGCTTCAACTTCACAGCACCACTCCTGTATACTAACATTTTACCCATAAAGCCTGCTGGTAATGCTTCCATACCACATGGTTTTTGAGATGGCCGTGCACCTTTCATGGGATTGGCAATGCTCCCCTGCTGCTTGCTGCCCTCTACATTATCGCATGGCTTTGTCATAGGCAAAGCTGTTGGTAACTGAACAAAGAACATGCTATCCTCCAGATTCTCCTCCTGCAAACCATTTTGTTAAAATATGAAGAAATTTCAGTTGTGTGTATTTTTATGAGTATCCATTTTTCCTGGACGATAACCAACCATTAGACCAAGCCTTAGAGATGGATTTGTTGCGTATTCATTGTCAATTGATCTTGCCAAATCGTCCTCAAATTCTTCTTTATCTAGGAGTTCTACAAATAAAATAACCAAGTTTTGCATAAACACCAAGGTAAATGCATTTTATCAAAGTCATAGCCAATTTAAATCCTATGGGATGAGATTAGCAAAATATAGTTTATTAACCTCGGTTTATGTATGAGCATCTAGCTGCCTACTACTTTTCTCCTTCATACATGTTTTTCTAAATGGGAAACTAACCTGGATTTCCTGAATATGGCCTTCTTAAGGGAAGCTGTAAAGGATAATAGGAATAATAGTTCTGCGATAGCATCCAAAGAACTGTAAGAGACATATAGGTATATGGGCTATGGTCAAATGGAATCAGAAATTTTCTTCATATATATCATTTACCCATGGTTCCTTGTACTCTTTCTCCACTCTCTGCTCATCATTCCCACCTGCAAGAAGAGGCATGATATTAAATCTAGTTCAAGATATAGCAGCAAATTAAAGCTGAAAAATTCTACTTGCCATCAGAAGACGATCCCAGTTTCTTGTTAATATGCTTTGCAGCACCGTATGGCTTGAGGGAAGTTGAGGAACCTCCATAACCAAATGCAACTTTAGTAGCCCCAACTGCAGTTGCAAAAGGCAATTACAACATAAGGCAGGTTGATTAACAATTTGACTTTAAATCAGAATCATATTCTCTTTTTCGACAATGTGCAAAGAAGAACGAAACACCATTTTTTTAACTTTTTTAAGTGCAAGCCAGTAAGGGGACTTGCTATGCTGAAGAAAGGATACTACATGGTTATCTTGATCTGTCTAGTAAATAGACTCAACATCAGAAGTTAACAACCCGTCTCAATCTAGGATTCTGTCAATCAATCGACTGCACATGGTTTTGCAAAAGAGAGCTACACATATTAAGCACTACAGCTCTGAGAGACTAGAGATCAGAATATGAAACCAGATTGAATTTGGAAGGACCAATAAAATGAGGACACCTCTGCTTTAAAATGAGCTACATGCATTCATAGGAATTGGAATTGTACCAGAGTTTCAAGTTACAAAAGAAAAGAAATAGGATCAGACATGACAGGTTTTGGAATTAATGGCTATGGAGGATTTATAAACATGCCGTGAGACCTAAAAGTTGCTTGTCTTTTCTTTCAATTGAAGAAGTATCATTGTTGTCAAATCCAAATGCAGTTGGTTTTACCCTGAGATTTAGACAGAACAGTTTACCTTTCCTTTCAAAATTAGGCTTTGCCTTTGTAGATGATTCCTTTGAAGAAGAGTAATTGTATTAGTAATAACATAAACAGAAGTCCATTTACTAATACAAATGCAAAGCCTAAATTTGAAGAAGCAAATACAAATCACCATCTGCAAAAGAAATAAAAAAAATGAAAACTAGAAGTACATTGAAGCGGCGTAACAAATCCTGTGCCTTAGCAGTATCAATATCATTTTCGAGCTTTTCACTGCAAAATAAACGAATAAATCAAATCACAAGTTAAATTTAAAGTTAAGATTCAAAAGAACGAGGATATCAACTATTAGGATCAAACTAGGTCGAAAAAAATTACACTTTAGGCAAAACAGCTTTTTGTTCTTTCTTGAGAGGAGCTTTGGGTGCGAATTTCACCTACAGAAATTCATAACAATCATTCACCAAAAATTAACCTACCCAATAACTTAATTCTATTTATCATACCTTCCTCGGTGCATTGGCTGTAGAATCCATTATAAATCAAATGTCAGCTTCTGGATCACAACAAATGAAAATGCAATTAATCCATAATTTCTCCAACAAAATCAAGGCTACGCATTACATATAACATTATGCATTGGCAGATTTTGATGTTCAATTTTAATGATCAGAGGTAGACAATATAACAACACTAAAGAAAGCCCACAACTTTTAAGGTCTATCGCTATGTTCATGTTTGCATACATAAATCATAATTGATTGAACCCAGAAACATTGTGTTGTGTGAGCACAAATAAGTGGGTATATAGACCAAAAAGGAGACATATACACATGCAAAAACGTTGTTGATATAGTACTATACAAGTCATCAAACTCACCCTTTCATATGATCATATGGTTATGAAATCTTGAATGTGTAACACAAGAGAGAGAAGGCTGTTGAAAGTGGCTCGAATGCGCGGCTATGTGTTAGGGTTTTAGAGTTTTATGTAAGTGGAACTGGAAGGTTTGTATATGTTATACAGCAAAGGTACATGCCAGTCCTGCTTCAATACGAGTATGGGACACATACACATATTGGCTATTGTCAAATGTCAATTCCATGGACCTAGCGGTTATTATTATTATTATTAATTTTTTTTTTTTTGTGACAATTATCCCCATGGTCAATCAACAAAAAAATTACATTAGTCGGAGAACTTTACGTTGTATATGTACATGATAATTTAAGTTAAATTTAAATTTATAGGATCCATAACTGCTACTAATACATGAGGATACTTGAAATGTGGTGAGTTTATTGTCTTTATTTGGGAATGGCCCATTAGCGCCTTCATAAGGCGTCATTCGAAGTGAGGCCCAATTAGAAAAGGTTTGATATGTATTTGGGGATTTAATTTTGGGTGATATAAGGTATATTGTACATCCCCTATTAGCTTTTATGCAAAATGGTTGCATCTCCCTACATTAGTTGTATCAGAGTTGAAGGTCCTATGTTCGAGTCAATGCTGGAGCATTTTATCACCATTCGAGAATGACTCAATAATACCTTGTAACGTATTCTTCGAAGGGATGACCAAACAGAGTGAGCTTGGGGTGGATTCCTAGACACGACTCTAGGTAATATATGGAGAAATGTACAGATTATCAGTTATAGCTTTTGGACAAAGTACTTGCATCCGTCTTCAACTACCCACTTATGAATTAGTCATTTCTACCAATTATAATTCTTGTAACTTCGCCATTGTTAAGAAATTAAAATCAGCTTTCAACGAAAAGCTTAGGGACATTTGGTTCCCCATTTTCAGTTTTCATTTTTGCAAAATACCTAAAATATATTTGGTATGATATCTCTTAAAATGCATTTTCGAAAACAAGTTAAACTTATAACATAAAACTCGAAATGCATTTATGA